AAACTCTCAAACTCTCAAACTCTCAAAAATCTCAAATCCCTTCATACGTTAGTGAGTATTTCGATTCGACCCCTAACTCCATATATCAGCCTTTCGATTCACCCCCCCCCCCCCCCCCCCCAACTTCCATATACCATCCATGGAACACTTCCAAAACCCTCAAAAAACTCTATATACCAACCTTCGATTCACTCCTAAATACCACATACCAACCTTTGATTCAAGTGATTTTCAAAGCAAAGTAACAACTGGAATAGCTTCAGGAAGGTTGAAGCAAGCATAATCCATCATCAAACTGTTCCTAAAGGCTTTGTCGAAGTACCTCAAGTTTCGCTCCAAGAGGTAAGTTTTCTTAAACTTGGAACTTTTCATTCAAACATCATTTATATTACACATAAAAGAAAAGATGTAGATATCATATCTAGGAAGTTGACCATGCTCTTAGTTTCGATTATCACTGCTTATACGTTTAGAACTTCAACTCTAACCAGTTAGACTTTGGTTTTGATATTGCATAGCTTTCGAAAGTTACATGGTTAGATTTGCATTCAGATTTTAGGCAGGTTTTTACATCTTTTGATTGGCTGAGAAACGAAGCCTTTCGAAGCTCAAACAATGGAGTCCTACATCCCTGCGCTCAAAGGAATAAGATGAAGTCATTCAGAACTGAGTTCATTTTATATTTAGTGAAAATTGTATATCTAACGGATGAAACATACCACCCCAATGGTACAAACAGCGCGTGTGAAAGGAATTTATGTATAAGGTCCTGGGTTCAAACCTTGGCAGGACCAGAACAATTTTTTTCATTTGTTTGTTTCTTTTTCTTTTTAACAAACTTCAACATTTTTCCAACCAATCAAAACAACTCCTTTTGAGTTAATTTTTTTGTGCACTATTTATTTACAATGTTTATTTTATGAATATATAAAAATATCACAAAAAAATATTTTATTTTCATAATTATTTTAATTAACCAAAATCTTTTATCAACAAAAACAAAACAAATCTTTTCATTTTCCATTTTGTCTTGTACATTATATTCCTTGTACATTATTCAAGTTTCAATATGGTTGTAATAGTTAATTAGGATTTAATTCCTGAAAATCCCCATTTGTAAATTTGTATCCCCATCCCCAAAATATGTAATAGCGTAGGACATTTAATTTTCCGCAATTTACCGCTTCTATATAAAATACTAGTAATTAGGTTGTGTATGACAAGATAAAATCAACCCTTAGAAAACCCTAAATTCAATGACAAAATACATGCAATCAAAGACACTATTCACACACATGCACCTCTAGGGTAATCTCACTTGTTGCCTCGGAAAATATTCATGTCCCTCGAATATGGGCGTTTTAGCAAACACCCTCGATAAAAATATTGTAGTCTCTCGATGTATCTCGATGTTGCCTTCGGTAAACGATCTAGTCCCTAACGAAAATTGCCAAAACGTCTCATAAGTTGCCTTCTATGACTATACGATGACCCACACCCGTCTCTTCACATCCAATGACGGGGCTTCTTATCAAATCAATGGTAAAATAGAAACATCTAAAAGAGGAAGAAAATAACATAGACCTTTTGAGTAGGTAGGACGCTCGTAGTTGCTTGCTCGTAAACTAAAACCATTTTTCCACACTTACACGTTCAAAACATCTTCAAAACAAACATCTTTCAAACACATCAAACACTTTCAAAACATGAAAATATTTTCAAAATTCCAACACTTTGTATGCATTCTTATAGAGACGAGAATCATTACAAAGTTTGCCTCAACGAAGGAGCTTTCAAAAATACTTTTAAAACCCACCACAAACACATTTCAAACAAAAGCATTTTCAAGTGATCTAGCAAGCAACTAAGAGCCCATAGACAACTATGGATGAAAAGGGTGTTAATACATTCCCTTTTCATAATCTACCCCCCGAACTCAAGAAAATATCTCAAAGTTCTTTCCTGTTCTTTTCACCCTTTCCTTTATTGGATAAAAGAAAATTCGGTGGAGACTATTGCTATTCGTAACAATTACGATTAAACGCAAAACAACCAAGTCAGTTCTCCCACCGTATTACACCTTGGAAATGGGTGCCTCCAGGTTAAAGGCAAAAAGTGATTCCTAGTTGGTCCCCAATCAAGTTATCAGGGAGTACCAAGAAAAATAACCATTGCTCATAAGATATCTCCACAAGGTACGAATCTTATCAACACACTTTAAATATTTTAAAGTAAATTACGTGTCCAGAGAAAAAAATTCATAGAAGACTTTATGTCTAAACTCCCCACAACGAAGAAGACATGGTACAATCGAACAATGATACTAGAGATTCTTACTACTCCTAGTATTGAGGAAGACGAGAGTTATACCATAGAATTCTCCCCTGACTTAAGTTGGATGTCACTCATACTACACTATCTACTGGAGGATAAACTCCCTCAAGATGAAGAAAAGAGGGTTAGGAAGCAAGCCACCAAGTATCCTCTCTTGGAGGGAAAGCGCTATAAGATGGGAAAAGCCTTTCCAATGATACGGTGTCTAGGGGAGCATGAAACCGCCTTAGTCCTAGCTTAAGTTCATCAAAGAGCATGAGGTAGTCACATTGGCGGAAAGGCTCTCACCCACAAACTACTTAGAGCACACTACCATTGGTCTACCTTGTAGAAAGATAGTGTGGCATTTGTTAAGAAATGTGACCAATGTCAGAGACACGCCGACCTGTATCACGGCCCAACTGAACTCATCCACTATATGATGTGTCTTGTCAGTTTTATCAATGGGGAGTGGATATTTTAGGTTAGTTCTCTCTAGCATGGGGGTAGTTAAAATTCTTGATCGTGCGGGTCGACTATTTCACAAAGTGGATAAAGGTCAAGGTCGTCACCAAGATTACACTATAAAGAGTTTGTTGTATATAGTCGTATAAATCATGTGTAGATTTGGGTTTCCTAGAATCATCGTCTTTGGCATCGACACATAATCTGTTAGCACCACAATCATATTTTGCCGCGAGTTAGGTGTACAAATGAATTTTGTCTCAGTCGTTCATCCCCAAGCTAATGGGCAAGCAGAGTCTATGAACAACATGATATTGAATTGGGATTAAAAAGAAGTTGGATGACGCCAAAGGGTTATGGGTTGAACTACTCCATGAAATATTATGGTCGTACGATAACTTTCCCCATTCAACTATCAAGGAGACGCCCTGCACCATAGTGTACGCGGCATATGATTTTCTGCCCGTGGAGATCGACATGCCGTCATGGAAGTCTTATTAGTTCAACTAAGAAGTGAATGGCATCGAGCTAAAGTATGTCATTGATTTGGTCAATTAAGTAAGAGACGTCGCCCATATTCAGGAATTAGCCGCCTAACAAAGAGCGGCTAGAAGATACAACTCTAAAGTAATGCCAAGGTAAATGCAAGAGGGTTACTTGATGTTGGGTGGTTTTGTCTGTGCAACAAGGAAAATTGCAGCCCAACTTAGAAAGAGCATATCACATATTCTAGAAGCTACCACATGGAGCATGTAAGCTACAAGAGTTAGATGGATGACTCATCCTCGCGACTTGGATCTCCATGTGTTTAAAATATTATTAAAATTAAATTATTTTCAAATTTTTAAAGGAGGTGTGTCGCCCCCTTATGTACAAACTTTTGAATATCTATGAGCAAGGGGAATGTTTTGATTTTAACTGTCATGTATGTTGTACTTCCACATGAATATTCTTGTTGTCTCTTAAGGCAATACAAATATGTTGGACTTCCACAGAAAGATCTTTACCTCCTCTTAAGGAAATACAAATACGCTGAACTTCTAAAGTAAGATCATTGCCGCTTATCAAGGCAATACGAATACGGTGGATTTCCACAAAAAGATCTTTTCCGCCCTTATGGGTAATACAAATGAGCTACACGCTGGGGGTTACCTCACCTAAACGCATCACCTGAGGGACTTGTAGTCTCCACTGACAGGATCCAGTATGTGGTCTCTCCTGAGGGACTCCACTGTTCTCTCAACAACCTATAGTTATCTCAACAATCTATAATTATCTTAGCAATATGAGTTATACTCTCAACAACACATAATTATCTCAACAACTCATAATTATCTTAATAATATGAGTCATAATCAACAATTACTTACAAAGCTGTTAGACAATTTAAAAAGGGTGTTTAAGAAAAATCAATGAAATGTTCTTTTAATAAATAGATATTAGATTAATCAATATACCTAAGAAAAGACTTCTTTCAAATGACTAGTCGATTGAACTCATTTTCAAACCAAGTGAAATTCAAAGACAAAAATCTTATGGTGCTTATCTACGAAAGATCACTTATTAACTAAAAACACAAAAACTAATACTATTCACAATTATTTGAGACTTGGATAAATTTCATAAATAAAGTCCATTGTTGCGCTCCATTGATACGCAAATAAACATGAACTCTATCAAGAGTATCATGAACATCAACTGTTGAAGAAAAAAAATCAATCACAATTTGTCATGCAATTGAGCTTTAATAAGACTATTTGACTTGGGTTACAATTTCAAAAATCTATTTCATACTAATTTGCAAAATCTATAAACCAATTGAACTTAAGTGCACAATTTCCATGAATAAATTACTTACCGTTGAAAATTGTTAAAAATATAATATTATAAACTCAAACTTGCTGGTTATCACTGACATAACCAAAAAAGAAGTAAAGTAACCTAAAAGTCAAAGAACCAAACCTTCCACCATTCACATTAAGGACTTGATAGTATGAGCTGGTTTCTAGCTTGCTTTACTGACAAAGGAATCTAAGAATGGAGAAAAAGAAGCAAAAGTAGTCAATAAAGCAAATACAAATTTTGCATAGTTTGGACAAAAGAAGCTTTTACCCTCTTGTGCTCTTAAGTCTCATAATTATTTATCTTTACATTTTCTTTATATTATTTTCACTCTTTCTAATCTCAGAACTTTGGTAACAAATTAAACCTGTAATATACAAATGGCTAGAGTGGGAGGCATTTTTCTTTGTCTCCTCATTGTTATCATTGATATAGCAGCTGGGATTCTTGGCTTCGAAGCTGAAACAGCACAAAACAAGGTATGTATGCTTGAAGCCAACAATTTTTTTATGTGCATTGTGAATTAATCTATCTATGTTAAACTGCAATGTGAGTAGTTATTATTTTTAACAAAACAGGTTAAGCATTTGAAGGTGTGGATATTTGAGTGTAGAGAGCCAAGTCATGAAGCCTTCATGTTGGGGTTGGGTGCAGCAGTGCTTTTGGGAGTATCTCATGTTATAGCCAACTTGTTAGGTGGCTGTAATTGTGTTTGTTCTCAACAAGAGTTTGAGAAAGCTTCCTCCAATAAGCAACTCTCCACGGCTTGCCTTATTTTAACCTGGTAGGTACTTAATATATATCTATACATGGCATCTGCTACAGATCCATCTTAAATTTTTGGAGGCGCTGTGTAGGTTAGTCAGAACTCAAATATATATCTATACATGGCATCTGCTACAGATCTATCTTAAATTTTTAGAGGCGTTGTGTAGGTTAGTCAGAACTCAATGAAGATAAATTAATTAGAGATCATATTTAACCATGGTTTAAAAGTGTCAAGTTTTTAGTGAAATCCTATTTAACCATTCCAGACAAATTTTAAACCCTGCATAGCACGCCTTCAAAGACGGCCTTATATATACATTATTTACTATACTATTTTAATATCCGGATGAAAAGATAGAACTATTGATATATTCTCCTTTTGATTGTGTTGTTGATCAGGGTGGTGGCGGCCGCTGGATTGTCAATGCTAGTGATAGGGTCCATGTCAAACAACAGGGCTGATGGTTCTTGTGGATTCTCACACCATCACTTTCTGTCCATTGGTGGGATATCTTGTTTTGTCCATGGTTTATTCTCTGTTATATATTACATTTCTGCAACTGCCTCTGTGGATTAGTATTTTTGTAACATGATAATAGCATCTAGAAGTCACTTAGTTATTGATGTATTAGTGTTTTTGGAGTGTGACTTTTCTATATGTTGCTCTAGAATATATTTAGAAGACTTTTTTAGTTGTTGTACGGAGAAAAGGATTCCATTATATTTCCTAAATCATTAGTTCATAATTATAGAGCAAGGTTAGGTTTTTTAGGATTGAGTTCGGTCCAATCTTTTCGATGGATTGAACTCGGTCTTGGTCCAATCTGAAACACATTTAAAAAGAATTAAGAGAAAAACAATACATTAGTTTTGTTTATCCAGTAGTCTAGCGGTTGAAATTTCGGGAGAATAAATGAGATGCCGCGGGTTCTAACCCGCACCACTACTGTCGGATATTTAAGCATCGCTACCAACTGTTACATGTGATTATGTGTATTTTGATTAAATAATTAAATGAAATTTATTGTTACATAGGATCATTCACTAAATATCTCACCTTCTTTTATTTTCTCCTTTTGATTGTGTTGTTGGTCTGGTTGGTGGTGGCTGTTGGATTGTCCATGTTGGTGATAGGGTTAATGTCCAATAACAGGGCACATAGTTCCTGTGGTTTCTCACACCATCACTTTCTGTCTATGGGTGGGATTTCCTGTTTTGTCTGGTTTATTATGTGTTATATATTACATTTCTCCCTCTTTCTAATGGATTTAGAGATGATAAAATTGGTCAAGTCCGCCTATTTAACCTACCGTTTTTGCGGGTTAGACTGAGATTTTCGATTTGATATTTTAATTTGATCCGTCCCGTCTACTCTACTTAAAAATTGAGTGGGACGGATTTTGTCTATGAAATTTTTGTTAAATTATTTTTTACATAGAACGAAAACTAGACAATGCATTGAGAAATCCAATTCACTAATTATTTTTTCTCTTTATTGATATAAAAAACTAAACATTCTCTCTTCTTAAATAAATATAATCTTATTTATTATTTCAAAACTAAGTTTCTTTCTATTTATTTCATTGTCATTGTGCCTATCCTTCCACTTTAATGTTGTTGTATTCGATCATCCAAACCAAACTTCTGTTTTGTTCTTCTTTCTCTTCATGGACGCACACATTTAAGATAATGAGACAATCATTTTTTTCTTCTATAATAACTCTCATTGAATGAAATCCTATTTCAACGGTTTAATCTTTGCTCTGACGATTGTTTTTAAGAGAAATATTCACTGGAACGTCGAATCTCGATCTTATAGCATGTTTAATGTATTGAAATCAATTATGTACCAATTTCCATGTGTATGATCCTAAGATGAATGGAAATCATCGGGACATAGTTTTTATGGTGACTCTTAAAGATTTTTTTTATGTAGTTTCTTTTTTACGTTGACTTATTGTTAATATAGTTGAAGAGTGTTCCAAATTGTTAGTGGTTTTGTTTTTTATATATGAGGGGCCTATAAGACACAAGTGAAAATATATTGACCGGTTAAATATAGTTCAAGAGTGTCACAATTTGTTATTGGTTTTGTTTTTTATATATGAGGGGCCTAGAGGACATAAGTGAAAATATGAACATGTTATTACTGATTTATGCGTAGTTAGATGTTTGTGTTTAAAACTTATTTCATTATCACGCTTTGATTTTGAAAACAGTTGATTTATGTTGTGGTCGCATATTTTGTGTTTGAACCATCCAAATCTATCTTGTTGATTTTGTTCTTCTAAATTCATCTTGTTATCTTAGTGTTTACCTTTGATTTAGGAACAAACAAAGATTTTAGTCGGGGAGAGTTGTTAAGTGTCAACTTTTGAATAAATTTCATATCATTTATTAACACTTTCAAACTCTTTATTTTATTTTTAATTAGGATAAGCACTTATTTTTAGTCATTTTTCATAAATACAAATAACTTTGAATGTTTTAATTTGTTTGTTAGTTTTTCAACAACTTTTGTGCAGATATGACGGTCCGATGTCAGTTTTCTGTTGTTTGTGCAAGGAAACAAATGTTGAGTTGCTGTAATCGATCTCCCGACGACAGAATGTCATCGCTCGGCGAAAGGTGTGAAGAAAAGGTGGATTTTTGGGTTAGCTTCTGTATTGTTTCGCTCTTGGGTTAGCATCTTTGTCGCCGAGCGATGGTGGATATTTCCTGCTTGTTTCTCACGTCTAGTTGGTCACATGGTGCATTCAGCTAGCGTCATCCGGTGATGCTTTATGGTCTCCCAGCGATGGTGTGTAGATTGCCCATGCTCTTAGACTACTTTAGCCATATTTTGTACTATACTTTCACCAACTCTTGTACTTTTGAAAGGAGAAAAACCTGACATTGGAAAGAAAAACCCTTGTTCTTCCATTACTACAAAGAAATTAAGCTTTGCATCTTGAATCAAAGAAACTTGAAGGTTGATGTCCATAAAGATTTATTGCTTATTTGTTGATCAAGGTATCATGACTATGAGGAGCTAAGCATCTTTTGTGTTAAGATTAGAGGTAGTTAACCTAGACCTTATGTAGTTCTTTTAATCATTTTGTATATGAACTTGGTTGATGATTAATATATGTTGAATGTCTTTGTTATCATTGTTCTTTTTATGGTTTAGATCATTATTGAGAAGTAAGTTCCAAGCTTGACCTAAAATATTCATCTATTAATAAGAAAACTCTAGACATAGGTTTGTGAGTTAGTATTCACTTGTATCAAGCTTTAAAGATTATCATGTTAATAGTTAGGTTGAGAGATCATTTAATGATTAACATGATAATACTCACAATATTGCTTAGACATGAGTAATATTGAGAGGATATGTGAATATATTGATCTTCAATTAGTTCATATACATGATTAATCAAATATATATTGAATAGGTTGATGAAAACTAATCTTGACATGCCTTTTATAAAAACAAGTTTTTCAAACAAAAACCTCTCTTTTATCCAAATCACAATATCGTGCATGAAGCTTAAACTTTTTGTTACTAAAATCAAATACCAAAACTTTGTCTATGAATCAACACTTAAATTCACTAAAACTATAGAACGACATTAATATCACACCAAACCCTGAGGAAAACGATAATATACATACTTGTGTTAAAAATACTTATAACCTTTTATGTGAGACTGTTGTGGGCGACATATCCTCTCGTGAGCCCCACGTGGCAGCTGTTTGGGGTGTCATCGTTACATAGGGCAGTCTAAGAGCCCAAGTAATAATGACTTTTCGCATGCTACCTCGTGAGGTGGGGGCTATCTATAAAAGGGGAATATGAGATTTACTTTGATATTTTCAAGCTCTCTATCCTCCCATTTCCCTTTCCTTCGTCTCCTCCAACACCGTCATAGACACCTTTACGTTCATCTCTCCAAGTAACTGATTTCATCTTGATCGTGTTTTTCTTAGGTTTTTTAGATTAAACAAATGGGGTTTTACATGAAAGGATGAACCTCTGGATGAAGATTCATGGGTTCTGGAATGAACCTCCACGGATGTTCATCTGGGTTCACAGATGTGAATGAAGATTCATAGTTTCTGGGATGAACCTCCATGAATGTTCATCTAGGTTCATGAATATGGATGAAGATTCATGACTCCTGAATTTCGTTCTGAATTACGTAGGGGTCTTCCCCCCATATAGTGGGAAGGATTTGGGAAACTTTCCCGTTTGACAAAATATCCCCGCGTATGGTCGAGTGCACTCATCGAGGACCATTCCTCGATGCATTCATTGTCCTTTCACTTGATTTGCGGTGGAAGGGTGAATTTGATGATGTCGAATTCATTGTTTTCCCTGATTTTCAAGTATGATGGCATAACCAATCAAGGAAAATATCGTGCCCAACACTGATGGGGGCGAAGCTGAGGCCGCGGTCAGCCCCTGGCTTGGGTTGCGCCCGACCCCGGAATAAGGGATCCTTTTTTGTGAAGGATGCTTCTGACGCGTTTAATGTCCTCGATGATAGATTAGAAGACTCCCCTGCCAACTGGGTGCTCCAAATCCATCACTGAATTCGGAGGATATGCTCGTCTTTCCCGTGCAAACGCTTTCCTATGTACGAATTTTCTTTTAAGGAATCCAGGATGCGTTTGCCCTTCAACGATTTCTAGGTGGAGTTTTTCAATGGCTACTACTGGCCCCCTCTCAGCTTCATCCAAACTCGCTCGTGTTCATGCGGGAATTTGAGCTCGTCTGTCAGCACCTTCAGATCGGTGCAACTCAAACCCTTTTCTTCCATATATTCTATCTCTAATGGTAGAACATTGACGGGCGGCAGGCATGGGTGTCGTTTAAGAAATTTGGAAAACTCTTCCAACCGTACATGGAATATGTATGAAACTTTAATGAAGAGTACTTCATTTTGAAGCCCCTCACTTATGCGGTCGTGGACTCTTCGTATGACTGATCGAAAGAGGTCAAGGATTGTCGGAAAGTGGCTCAACTGACTGCGAAGTTTCCTATTGAGTGGCAATTGAAATTTTTTGAGCAGAAGCCCGAGTATTATACGGTGAAGTCCGAGGACTTAGATGCCCTGGATAAGCTCTCTTATGACAAGCTAGTGGCTTATGTCGAGAGCTTCTCCCCGACTAATTAACACGAAATTTCTCCTCTGATGATGAGGCTTTGAGACTACTAGGTAGGGGACATGCTCATAACTTCATGTTCGTAATTTTGTATCGGACTAATAGTTTCTTTTGATTACAGGTTGGATGACGACTCTCTCAGAATGTTTACTCAAGTTGAGGTCCAAGAATCTATCACACTTGGCGCCCAAAACTCGGGTTGCCCAACTTCAGGAACAAGCCAAAACATTTTCTCGTCCAAGCGGTTCGTCTTCCTCTCCAGGGGCCTAGGCTCCCCCTCCCGAATAAGCGGCTAAAAGGAAGCGCATGGAAGACCCCAAGCACGCGACAGCGGTCGGGGGACAAGGTTGCCGGGGTGGTTTTCGTGTTGCCTCTTGCTATCTCAACTAAAGGTATCTTTAGTGGGGAGAGTTCCTTAGGTCTCCATGA